CCCCTACTAGCGATGCCCTTGCTCCCAGTAGCGATGCCAGGAGCCCCTAGTAGCTATGCCCTTGCTCCTAGTAGCGTTCTTGGTGGTTTTCTACATGTAAAAACATGCGCTGCTAGTGGCAATGATGCATTGAGAAACATGTTTATCATTGCGCTGATCAAAAGCGATTTGTCTCCCTAATGCCATGGTCTTTTTTGCATTGGATGATTGAGTGAACATTCAGATATCAAAAGGACAGCTCCTACAAGTTTTAGGCGGAACGAGCTCTTGCTTGCTTGATAGCTTTGTTACTCCTTTAGCAAATCATGGACTTCTGAACTGGTGGCTTCAAACCTGCCATGCCTAAGGGCCTAGAGTGCACTTACCAGATGTTGAGACTCGCATCAAACCACATTGGAACCTATTCGGCCATCAAGCGCAGAAGTTGAGTCCAGACTGTTCAGCCGACATCGACAAGTGATGGCCTTCACCCATAGGAGCGATGGCCTCCAACCTAATTAAGATGAGTGTCAGTGATGTGAGATATTGAGATTTATGAACGCGTTGGTGCAAACCATGAGTTGTTGCGAACAAGAAACACCGTGATTTCAGGGGTCAACTCGCCACCACGTCACCCCGTGGTCAACGTATCAAGCCGTTGCTTCATGCCGATGTTTTGAAGTTGATAGCAAAGGATGGCAGACCAAGCCTTGCCAACTTAAGCTAATCAACCATGAGAGATGAAAGTAAACATGCTACACCTTCGGCGTCCTTCCCTCTTGAGAAAGGCCTTCAACTGCTTCCGCTGCTGCTTGCAAGAACCACTTGCCCAGACAGAGCTCTGATTTGCGCTGCTTTAGCTCCCCCCTGACATAGATGCATTTAGTTGCTATCCAGCAGGTCATAGCTTCCAGGCAGCTCCACTAATCACCCGTGATTGTCGTGAGCTGCAAAGCCCAGTCGCGCTGTTCAAGTTGATATCGACTCACGCCGTCAAGAAGATTGGCATCGATGGCCTTTGTTACTAGTGGCTTCTTGTTACTAATTAGTAGTAAGAATGCTACTAATAGCAATGCCCTGTGCTAGTAGTAGCGATGCCCTTGCTCCTAGTAGCTTCTTGTCACGAAAGCTAGCGAAGCTAGCTGGAGTTACTCTTGCGATAGCAAGGTTTCTTTCGACCGGGTGCAAATCCTAACCCCTGATTTTTCAGGTCGAAGACCCCCCCCCACCCCCCCCC